TGAATACGAGTAACCGTTTTGAGAAGTGAGAATTATTATTTTTTAATTTAATAAGAGATCCTTTATTCGTAACACAGTGGGGAAATGTCAGTGTTTCATCGTGTTATAGAACAGTAGGAATGAGGAGCACAAGATAAATGAACAATAGCTATTCTAATTAAAATAAAACAAAATCTCTTGCATCAAAGGACAAGTTTAAAGTCTCTATCTCTACTCCAGCCTTGCCTCATATTTGGAAACTATGCGCTGTATGTAATTTAAAAGAAACATCTTACATATGATGCCTTTTAACTTTATGTTTATGAACAACATTTGAGCCTGGTTCAAATTCCAGTGTATATTTTATTTGTAACGAGTTTGCCAAAAAATGACCTTAAACGGGGTTGATCAAGGCTCCCTCTCTACCCCTTTCCTTACTCCATCACCGGGCATTACATTAATACAGTTCCACTCTAATAACTTCTCCATCTTTCAAACTTCTCCCCCTCCTCGCTCTGCCCACTGCCTGACCTCCATACCTCACTCTCCATTTGGAGGAGAGGGCCCTTGTAAGCCCTGGTAACAGAGGTTAATCCTCTCTTATTAGAAGCGGGATTACGGCAAGGGAAGGGATGGAGGCTGGCATGCTCGCTGGACGCTAACCTCTTTACCCAACAGTAGACATCAGAAAAATGCCATGACTGATGCAAAGCGCTTGTCCACATCTGCCCCTGCAAATAAAAATAAACAACCCCCTTTTTTTATACAATAGGTCAAGCATGAGATTAAACGGAAAATAACTCGTATACTGCAGCATTATTTATTTCATCAACGCGACTGAGTCATGCGACAAAAAGAAAGAAATGAAAGCAATAAATGTAATGAAATGTTTATAAAAATATGATTGCTTTTGTTGCCAGTTATATCCTGCAATGTGGGTGTGTGAATATGTTTTGTTTTGGCTCCTGTTATTACTAATGTACTGATATATTTTTATTTTTTTCTTTACAGACTTTGTCAATTCTACTAACTCCACACTGTGATTATATTGCACACACTTTTCCTCTTGATATAATTAACCAATGCTTGTTATTTTTTTATGTCTTTCTCTCTATTTCTCTCCTCCATGCACAAAAATATAGAAGTGGAACAAAAAGGTAACTAAATACAGACAACTTTCCCTTTAACCTGATTTGCCATACATCATTGTTGGTGTCGGGATCTGGCTCCTTCAAGCTGGTTTCATGCCATTCATGGGGAAAACACAATTTATATTTACTTTAACAGCAGCAGGCATTACTTTGGTATTAACTCATTGACTGTCATTGACGGAATTACCTGAGAAACTTCCCTCTAATCGACTGGGGATTAAAGGAGAAAAAAACTGCTTTAAACCAACTTATTCTTGCTGATGAAAGTAGACAATCGAGTCTTTCAGAATCTGGTTTCAAACTTCCACATAGTCATAGCCCATAATATTCTGTGGGCCTTGACAATCAGTGAAATCATCAAAAACGGCTGGCAGTCAATAAACACAATATATGTATAATTATTGGTCATTATTGAAGAGAAGGCCACTCATGGACCGCAGGATGTCTCCCATTCCTGGTAATAACCCAAGATTATTCCAGCCCATTTTATCAGCTGCATAATATGAAAGTAGAGGGTTATGTGCTGTGATCAATAGTCTGTCCAATAAGCTGTCAGCATTTTTGATTATGGCTCTAACATGTTGATGGATGTAACCTTCAGGGACTCTCAGTCAATACTGTCGACAGCTCATAGCAGCCATATTCTTCTCTTATCAGCGCTGGATGATTGTGCACAGCATATGCCAATGTTGCTTAGATGAGCGCCGTTCCAATCACAAAACTCATTGTGCCAGCTAAGTAAATGAGGATAAACACATTATTATTTACAATGTAGTCGTCATTGTTATTTTTTATTCTTGCTTCGCCCTTCAAATATTTAGTTTACATTGGCATTTGATGAGAACTGAGAAATGAGCTGAACTACTCATGAGGGGATTATCAGCGACAGCATTTGTACTGGGAAGTGTTTAATGCGCTCTCAAAAAAAGTTGGTAAAAGCTGTATGTATTTTAAGACAATCAAATGGCTGGAATCAGGAATCTGAGGCTCTGTAGTTTTGGCCTCTTTTGGCACATTTACTCGATTATTATTAGTAGGAGAAAGATTAAACTCCAAGGTCCTGCTACATTTTCTTAGGGAAATAAAAGAGGATATAGTTAGTATCTGAATTGAGTCTAATTGAAAGTAGAACGACCAATTGTTGGTTCTTAACAATTCCCAGTTCACAGCTGAAGATGAGATTTGGAGACCTGTAGATGTTTTTTTTAGACATATATAACAAAATCCTTATAAAAGGGTAAAAAGCATTGAAGCTTACTGAAATGGGTCGTCTCCTGCTGTAACAATTCTTACAACATTTCCCCATGAAAGCCATGATTGCTCATTACTTTAAACTGCCATTCACTCCACTCATCTTTGTGCTTCGTATCGCAGACTGCATATTTTTTACAATCTTCCTTTTGAGCCGAGCTGGCACCAAAGCTTACCTCTTCTGACCTGGAGCACTTTTTTTCTTCTTTTTTATTTTACTTTTCTACCCCTTTTAGCATTTAGCAGAGCAACCGCAGCCATGTGTGCTATGTCAATGGGACGCTGTCTGCCTGAGCTTTACAGCCGTAGGTAGACAACATGTTTAATCTCAGGAATTACAAACGTGAAAGAACATTCTGCTTTGGCTGTCTCTCGCTTTCTCGTCCTGAAGAGTATAGCTTTTAGGTCTAGACAGATCTGTCAGTGCATTGCCAAGCTCTGGGGCCATTTCACCAAAGGGAACATGCACACAAAATACAGTAGATCAGAGCCCTATGTCAAACATTGGAGAAAAAAACATTACTGAGTGACTTAGAAAGCTTTAAAAATATATGTTCTCATTGCAGATGCAGACAGAAAACTTACACGGAACAATTTCACCTTTTAAGTATTGAATGGACTGCAATGCAAGCCTACAGTGAAAACACAAAAAAAATTTAACCCATATTTTCCTCTACTTGCGCTGTAATCTACCATACAATTTTGCTCCGGCCCAGGGAAATTCATAATGAAGCTAGATTACCTTGCAAAATGGTCAACTGATATTGACCTGCTGCAGCTGCTTTGCTTTGGCCGAGCCTTATCAGATTTGAGCACAAACCAGTTCACGTATAATTGGTTTATTGTGCGCAGTGTTGTAAATCATGCTGCAGACCCGAATGTCATGTGGATGCAATAATAGACAGGCGGCCATTCTAATGATCGGATAATGTCTTAATCAAAGTTCTTTTGTTTGTCTGTGCGTCGTGCCAAGACCAATAATTGTATAAAATGTTTTTGGCGATCACTGGGTTCAAAATGTATTCAACTACATCTATTTTCAAGCATTTGTCTTTGCTGCTGTCACATTCTGTGCCATGTTAAATTGTATTGTACATCATTTATGACCTTCATTTCAATCTGTTCATCTTTCCATGCAAGTGACTTTGGAAGTTAATTGCTTTTGGGGTCAGGGCAGTAAATGAATTAAAAGAAACTCTAAAAGCTGAATTGCAATAAGTGCTTAAATGCGGTGCTTCACATTGTGTGTTTCTTTCATTCCGTGTCCTTGCATGATCAGCTATTCACCAGTTATTGTATTACTAAAAAAAAAATAACATTGAAGGATGAAAAAGTTGATCTTGCCAGGTTACCCTTACCTGCCAATGTAACTCTGTACTTGTTTTTTCCCCTTTTTGGCTCCTCAGTTTTCCTGTGCCCAGGGCTTCTCCGAAGGGTCTACCAGAGCGAGCACCTCTTCGAATCGGACCACCAGTCTGGAGCTTGGTGCAAAGACCCTCTCCAAGCCTCCGACAAGATCTACTACATGCCCTGGACTCCATACCGCACGGACACGCTCACCGAATACTCCTCCAAGGAAGATTTCATCGCTGGACGACCGACAACGACCTACAAACTGCCCCATCGCGTGGACGGGACTGGATTTGTGGTCTACGATGGTGCGCTGTTCTTCAACAAGGAGCGCACTCGCAATATTGTTAAGTTCGACCTAAGGACTCGCATCAAAAGCGGCGAGGCTATTATCGCCAACGCCAACTACCACGACACCTCTCCGTATCGCTGGGGTGGCAAGTCGGACATTGATTTGGCCGTAGATGAGAACGGACTATGGGTCATTTATGCGACAGAGCAAAACAATGGACGCATCGTGATCAGCCAGCTTAATCCCTACACCTTGCGAGTTGAAGGCACATGGGACACGGCCTACGACAAACGTTCAGCCTCCAACGCTTTCATGATCTGTGGGATTCTCTATGTGGTGAAATCTGTGTATGAGGATGACGACAATGAAGCAACAGGGAATAAGATTGACTATATTTACAACACTGAGCTGAGTAAAGACGGCTACCTGGATATCCCCTTCCCCAACTCCTACCAATACATCGCTGCAGTGGATTACAATCCCAGGGACAATTTACTGTACGTGTGGAACAACTATCATGTGGTCAAGTACTCGCTGGACTTTGGAGCACTGGACAACAGACTAGGTAAGGGAAACTGAATTTAATTGAATATAGACACTGTTATCAAGAAAATGTAATCGTTGCTGTACGTACTAGGCCCAAACCAATAGATATACTGTAGAAGAGGACATTTAATGACACTGAATTATAACAAAATACATACAGACATAACAGAAAATGTCATACTCCAAGGAGAGATGGCTGGAGAGAGAGAGAGAACCCTGGAGGCTCTGGACCTCAGTATTAGGCTGCTACATGTTGCTTAGAGAGTTGACACCGACCAAGAGCCCAAACTAGTCCATCCCAGCTCTCTATACACTGCTGTGAGGTCACTCCCAGGTTCCACTGGATTGGTCAGGGGGGTCAGCCAGGAGCAAGCCAGCCCCCATGGAAGGGGGGACATGGACATCAGATAAGGGGGAAAATCCATACCAACAGACACTTAACACTAGATAATAACAATAATATATAAACTCATCAGTAAAGCTCAGTAATGATAACAATATATTTGGACGTCAACATTTAGCAAAGGATATCGCTAGTGTGTATTCCTAAGAGACTTGAATATTACCAAATACTATTTCATGTTTTAATGAAATGGACTCAGCAAACCGTGTCTGTACAGTTGTGTTCTTGCGTCAGTTGTAGTTAATACACACACGTTTTTCCTCCAACCCCTTCCTCGTATGGAATGGATCAGTACAATAGCAAACAATAAGGATAGCAGTGAGGTGTTATGTTAAAATGTAAATAATTGTTTATTTAGCACAGTGTCTCGCAACATTTTTTTATTTTTTTGGTTCACATGGCACCACATCAACTCAAACTGACACAGATTTTAACAACACTGCAAAGTTATTCTTATCTAAGCGTGTTTTACAGAAAATCAATCGCAGTACATTGTTTATAACCTCCTCACATTATTTTCTTTTCACATTATTTTGACCAATATGCACACCAAACCACATCTCAAAGTACACAAGCTGATGACGAATAGATGAAGCAATAAAGCGTTCATCAACATGACTTAATGTGACAGATCTATTCGGAAGCGCTTGACTTGATTCCAACACTTCACAACCTAAACAACACTTTTCGCCGCTGTGGGCATTGTGTTAATTGGCTTTAAGGTACGGGAATGTTAATTTGGTCCTATGTAATTAGCATACTGCACCGTTTCCAAGATGGTGTCAGTCCAAGTTGTATTGTTTAGTAACAGGAAGTTGCTTTAATCTCCACACTCCATTGTTCTTTGTAAAAAATTGGTACTTCTGGGGGAGCATGGAACAAAAGAGAACCTGTTTTGACACACGGAGGTAATTCTTTGGGCTCTCATCAACAATTCGAGTCAAAAACAAGTTATTTGACTGTGAAGTGAAGTCCTTTCCTCTGCTGCTTTTTGATTCTGTGTTTGCCATTTCATTCATTTTCCCTGCTTGACTACTCACTGCCACTGCATCTTCACCGAACCTCCCTTTAAAATATTCATTTATTCAGCAAATAGTGAGTTTCCGACGATGCCCTGCTAACCACAATATAATCTGTTTCCGCTAAAGAGGCCGAAAAGGTTTTGTGATGTGTTTTTTTGTATGAAATTATTATCCATCACCTCTGAGACTCCATGTACAGTGTAACATTCACATGCAAATGCCAATTCTAAACACTGCGCTTCTAAAAAGATGTATTTGGCGTCTGCGGCGCTGAACAGGCTGCCCTCTAAAGAATAAGCAAGGACTATGCCTCTTGAATATAGATAGTAAAATGTTACATTAAGTGGATGGATGAAGTCAAAGCACAAATAAAAATGTCAGATAAACAGACTGATAAGAAATGAAAGGGAGACGCAATGGACTCCCGAGCAATAAAGCATTTAGTTTGATACAGTCAAGAGGAGCAAGAGAAGCCACACTGCCTCCAGCTGTTGAGCGGCTAGCTGCTAGTATCACATAATATTGTCTCACTAGGAGTTTAATTTTGTAGATGGCTGCTTCTTTGCACTAAAATCATTTGAATCAGCATCCCCGTCAACCTCTTCTTTATACGACTTAATTTATCCGCGATTCTCTGAAGATGTGGTTTAGTATGCTGTATGTAATAGGATGCACTGTTCAAATGTGGTATGGTTAGCTTTAGAAAGAAGAAATCCCCTTGCGACACTGAGGTTATGATTTTGTCTGAGCCATTCAAGAGTATTAACTGTCCTCAAAGGGCTGGTGTGGCTGCAGGTTTTCGTTCCAACCAAGCAGGTGCACACCAGACCCCACCCATTTTATCAAGTCTTCAGGATCAGACTGGACTCACTTGAGGAAATGGGTGGAAAATTCAAGTTCAAGTCTTCAATGTCAGACTGTACTTTAGGTTGAGACTGGGCTCACTTGAGGAAATGGAAGTCTGGTGTGCCCCTGCTTGGTTGGAATGAAAACCTGCAACCACACTGGCCCTTTGAGTTGAATACCCCTGCATGATCTCATTTAGTAATATCGGCGGGTAACTCTTTCTTACCGCATTCCGATATCGCCGCAATCAAGCAATCCAAAATGGCGACCGAGCCAGTGTGCGACGCAAAGATTTCATTTCACAGTCTCTGAGTTTGTCGCTTAAATGTAAAGTGACAAACCACATTTAGACTGCGATCAAACAGAACCAGCACAGCGTAGTGGCGGCTTTTTCTATCTACACTAACACAAACTCATTCCCACTCGTTCTTCCACTTGCCTGGGCTGACGCGACCCGCTGTACCAATGGAGCATGGGAAATGGGCAATGGAGCAGCTGAGACACAGGCCCGCACTACAGCTGTGGTTCATGCACTGCAGTATGCTCCACCTCAGACTGCATACACTTTCAGCAGAGCGTATGAATGTGTCTGCAACTGGTTTTCTTTCATTTATGACCTTGAGGGTTGCATTGAAAGGGGGTAAGGTTTGCTTGTAGCTTAAAGTGATTTGTGCGTGTTTGAGTGATCTTCTTTCTTCTGCGGTAAAGTAGTTATTGCTCAAACAGTACAATAGGAAGGATATAGCGTATTGCTCTGACTTTGTTGTTTTGTTCCTGTGATACACCTAGCATTGGCAGTGGTGGCAGGTATTTAGGATTAAGATCTTAAAGTTTCCCCCACTCTGGGACAAATAAAGGATCTCTTAATCCAAATTTAGACTCAAATGTAGAAATACAAAATGCGTGTGCTTTACAGTCTATGGAAACCACCTTGACGATAAGACATTCAGAGTGACAGACTACAAAGAGACAGCAAGAACGCATTTTGAAACCATGATTATGGCTGCAATGGTGCATGTCTGCGTACACAACTGTGTTAACTATGAAAATATGTTGATGAAAATAAGCCTTTAGAGCCAAATCAGTGCAGTGCAAGTAATAGACAGAAAGATACATTTGTGACATGGAGGCGCAGAACAAAACATCTACAGTAGGCCGCAGTGTGCAAAGCTCAAGCAGGTTTCTGTCAGCTGTGTGACTGGAAGCAACAGTATAACGCAGTATAGATCCTGATACACTGAGCTGTATGTAAAATACATGCTGGGAAGATACTGTAGTCTACATGATAAAGCCCTAATCACATATTATTAATGTCGAAAAGAAATATTTTATTTTTATTCTGGTGCATGTGTTCTTAGGTAATTCTCTTTTCCCTTGGACCTGCATAAAAGAGCAAATGCCCTTCTTTGACAAATCTATGCAGGTTTTGCCGCGGCCTCAGATGTTCTTGCCGAAAGTGCATTATTTTATTTCCAAGGACAAAACCAGCTATGCCCTGGAGGCCCTTCATGACAACTCCATTGATAATTAAATCCAATGAATTGATCATAAACACGGCGCGGGCACAGCGTTTCTTACCCATATAAAAGCCCTCGCAAGTGTCTCTCCCTTTTGATTAGATTGGAATGCAAAATGAGCACTGACATCTGCGTCGCAATCCATACACTTTGAATGAAATGGCGAGCCTGTGCCAAATAGACAAATATGGCAGAAAGAATGGGCGGAATGTATGAAAAAGGTGCGCTTTGTCGCAGCTGTTAATGAGAATGAGGCAAATAAATGTACACACAGACGGCTTGCCCTCCGGAGGACGTGGCGCTCATAAGTGGATGTGAAAGTCAACGTCTCCCTGACCCAATTCCTCAGATCTAACCAATGAGCAGCTTTTGTTGTTGTAATGATGCTCTGGTGTTGTCTGTGAAACTTTAGTGATTTATTCATCGGTCGCAAAACACAAGCAGCTTTCATTCATCGAGTTGCGTCACCCGTCTTAGATATTTGCTGGAGAAGTGCTTCAACAAGGCTCATTACGGGAACAATATGTGAAGGAGTAAGTTTGACGGAATATTAAATGCAATATTCTCACTCCGTCAGCCGGGCTCAAGTTAGAATCAAAACAGCTTGTGTTCTCCCCAAGATTATTGTCAATATATACAAAGAATATCGTACCTCAATTGTGTATCACATCAAATTTAATTATCCTTTCACTTTCACTGCCCATTCTTGTATAAACTGTGCCCACACTTTGCCCAGCCTTGTGTGAATTTACTGTAAAATATAGATTTGACCTTTAATAACATTCTTCTCATCTTACTGTATATCTTTAAATGTGATGAAGAATAGTTTGATAAAAAATGTGTCTTTATTGCTTCATTTAATTCCAATGTAAACTAGTGTTGACTAATACGGTCACCATAGTAACACAAAACAGGTCTATTGGGTTGCTAATCATGCTAAATATATATTGTTTCTTTCATTTCAGAAGGTAAATAAACGGGTTTTCAGTTTCGTCTTGCCAACAGTTGTGAATGAGCTTTTGCTGGCTCTTGGCTAAAAAAGTGGTCCCTCTAGTGCATTTTTGAAATAAATGTAAATGTGCACTTTATTGTCCCTGTAGGGAATTGTGTCCTCTGCATTTGACCCATCCTGATGCCACTAAGGCTTACGTCAGGAGCAGTGGTCGCCGTAGTAACAGCGCCCGGGAACCCATCTCCAGATGTTGATGCTCGGCTTGGTCAGGACCAGAGC